TTTCTGTCTCCAAATCAGCCATGGGTCAAAGAATAACGCACTGTTTTTCGTGGGTTTCCCAATTAGAATTTGATCTGGTGTTTTCTGGTTCATTGTGGAAGAAGTTTTGTGGGAGAGCTAGGATGTACTTCTTGCTATTCTACCATCTTGACATCTTGACTCTGCTTCTGAAAAACCATTTCTCAATGTGAGGTGGTGAGCGTTTGCTTGAGTTGTATAGCCCCAGCACCCAGGATGTGTACGTAGTAAGGCTTACCTGACACACAGAATAGGCGTTTACGGCTTCTCAGACATTTGATTGCTGTGGTGCACTTAGAGTTGTTTTGTGGGTCCTTGCCCTTGCTTTTATTAGGTAATTCAGAGAATACCCTGCTTTCAGTGTTTCAAACTCCCCCATTGCCTATATAGGTGATGGGCCACATCAGCTCTTTGTCTAAAATCCTATGTAAGTTTGAGCTCTTGAGTAGCTTAGAGGCCTTGGATAAAATAATTGCTGTCTGCTTGTGGAGCTAAAGGTAATGAAGACTTCACATTTGCTCTTTCCCTTTGGCCTCTATTCTCTTCTGGTAACTGCCATCTCTCTTCTTTTGCCTTATATTTAGTATTTCTAAAGAAACTAAAAAGGTTTTAATTTTTTTAGATTCATTTTCATTTTCTGTTCCAAATTCTCTCCCTTGGGGGGTCCCCCCATACATTAAGAAAGAAGGAAGGTAGGTGGCACAGTGGGTAGAGCACCTGCCCTGGAGTCAGGAGAACCTGAGTTCAAATCCGACCTCAGACACATAATACTTCCTAGCTTAACCCCAATTGCCTCACCAAAAAAAAAAAAAAAAAAGGAAGGAAAATAAAACTCACTACATACACATATAAAACGTTTCTGGAATAGCAATCCCCTGTTCCCCTTGCCCTCCCCCAAAGAAAAAAAGGTGGGTGGTAGGAGAAAGAAATATAATATACTTCAGTCTGCACTTGAGTCCATCAGTTCTCTATCCAGAGGTAGAAAGTGTATTTCATCATGAATCTTTTGCAATTGTGGTTGGTCATTGTGTTTATCAGTTACTGAGTCTTTCAGGGTTGATTATCTTTACAGTATTGCTGTTACAGTATAAATTGTTCTGGCTCAGTGCATACAAATATCTTTCCAGGTTTTTCTGAAACCATCCCCATCATCATTTCTTACAGCACAGTAGTATTCCATCCCATTCCCATACCATAACTTGTTCAGGCATTTCGTAATTTATGTGTGTCTTCTTAGTTTCTGATTCTTTGCTGCTACCAAAAAAAAGCTGCTACATAAGACCTTTTCCTCTTGCTTTGGTCTCTTCAGGATGTAGACCTAGTAGCAGCATCTGTGGCCCAAAAATATATAGTTTAATAGCTCTTGGGACATTTTAACAAATTGTTTCTCGGAATAGTTAGGCTAGTTCACAGCTCCACTATTTATCACTTGGGGAATTACTTTTGTTTTTATAAATTGGGCTCAGATAAATTTGTCTCTGTTCCCCTGTATATTTTAGAAACAAGACCATCATCTGAGAAACCTGCTGCAAAGATTTTCTCCCCAGTTTCCTGCTTCTCATTTTGGCCACACTGGTGCTTTTTTTTTTGTGCAAAACTTTTTTAATGTAATCAAAATTAACCATTTTAAGGTCTGATCATGAATTCTTCTAGCCAAGATCTGAGAAGTAATTTCTTCCATGGTCTTCTATTTATACATAAATGTACCCATTATAAGCTTATTTTGCCCAACAATTTGAGCTGTTGGTCTATGCCTAGTTTCTGCCAAACTGCTTTCCAGTTTTCCCAGCAGTTTTTGCCACATAGTTTTTGGCTCAGTAGGTAAGGTCTTGGAATTTATTAAACACTAGGTTACTGTGCTTATTTCCTTGTATATATTGTATACCGTATCTTTCCCACTGTTTAATCACTCTTTCTTACACAGTGCCAAATTGTTTTGATGATTACAGTTTTGTAGTATAGTTTGAAATCTAGTACTACTCATCCCCCTTCCTTTTTTTAAAAAATTGATTCCTTTGATATTTTTGAAGTTTTGTTCCTTCATATAATCTTGTAATTTAAAAAAAAATTTTTTTAAAGGCAGTTGGGGTTAAGTGACTTGCCCAGGGTCACACAGCTAGTAAGTGACAAGTGTTTGTTCTGAGACTGGATTTGAACTCAGGTCCTCCTGACTTCAAGGCCAGTGCTCTATCCACTGCGCCACCTAGCTGCCCCAATCTTGTAATTTTTTTCTAGCTCTTTATGGCACTGAATAAATTAATTTAGGTAGTAATATTTTCATTTTGCTAGCTTGGCCTACCCATGAATAATTACTGTATCTCCACTTATTTAGATCTTTTTGTTTTGGCAAAGTAAATCTTTGTAATTTTTTTTTTTTGTAATTGTGTTGATAGAGTTCCTCTGAATTTCATGACAGGTAGACTCCCAAGTGTTTTATAGTTTCTTTAATTATTTTAAATGGAATTTCTTTTTCTGTCTCATTCTGATTTTGTTGGAATATGCAGAAATGCTGATGATCTATGTGGTTTTATTTTGTGCCCTACAACTTTGCTGAAGTTGTTTTGATTAATTTTTTAGGTGATTCTCTAGAATTCTTTAAGTAAAATATACGTGTAGACAGTGATAGTTTTGTTTCCTTACTGCCTATGCTTATTCCTCCAGCACAATATTGAATAGTAATGGTAATAATAGATATCTGTGATCCAGAACTGGTTAATGAGTGACAGAGCTGCCGATTGACACCCATTCCTGTTTCTAGTACTAGTTCAGATATCCCCTGGGATCTCTTTCTGCTTTGTTAACTGACTATCCTGGTTCCCTATCTGTTCTGGGCACTGGAAGGCTCCCTGTCCACTGCAGGTTTATGTTCTGAGTTAAAGGTTAGAACAGAGTTGCAGCTCTGCTCCTGGTCTCAGAGCCACAGTGCTAATTTCTGGAATTTCTTTTGTACTCCATGCTCAGGTTAAGGACCCCTGCATGTCCAGTGGAGGCAGCTTTTCTCTATCCTGGATATAGGTAGTGTGATAGACCTAGCAGATGGCACCTGTTCCTGCCCTCAGCTCTGTCTGGTTTAAGGGTCTTCTTTGATCTTTTCCAGGTATTCTATCTGGCTCTTTTCTTTCATTGGATTCTGGAATGTTTCTAGTGTCTCTGCTGTTATGTTTCTAGTGTCTCTACTGCTTCCACTGCTGTTAAATTTCTGGCCAGTCCTAACCCCAGTGTCCTCTGACTTCTTTCTATGTCTTCCTAAGCTGCATTGGGCTGGAAAAACGACCGACTTTTTCTTGGCTTTGCTAATTAGAGTTTGGTTCTAGGTGGTTGTGGAGGTGTGTTGGGAGAGTTAGGCAGAAATGTTTCCATTCCCTCTACCATCTTGACTCCTGATGAAAAAGGAGGTTTTAAAAAACCCGACAACATATGCTTCCACATTATTAGTCACATCAAGTATTTAATTCTAGGGTCCCATATTTCTGAAGAACCTTCATATCTGTAACCATTGGGGATCTAGATCTCTCCTTTCTCTATCAAAGACCTCCATACTTTCTTTTTTAGTACTTTTTCTGTGGGAATGTCTGTGACTATAGTACCTACTTAGCCAATTAATGTGAAAGAACAATTTTTTGATAGTGGAAGAAGTGGGGTAAAAACTATATATTAGTAAATACAGGAGTGATTAAGAACTTAAATCAAACTTATATCAAGGTTAGTTGAAGTTACAAAAGTGTCTGAATTACTTGACAGGCAATAATTTTAATATTGTTTCATTTTGTGACGGCAGTGATCATAGTTTTGTGATTTTACTGACACTGGGGTGCCTCAGAATGTCAGTCTGTGACCAGATGAATCAGAAACTATTTGTTCATAGCCTTTGACTGTTTCTGTATTTATGTATTGATGCAACTGGTGGCTCAATGAATAGAGCACTGGGCCTGAAGTCAGAAAGACCAGGGTTCAGGTGTGGCTTCAGACACTTCCTAGCTGTGACCCTGGGCAAGTCACTTAACTCTGCTTGACAGAAGGATCCCCTGGAGAAGAAAATAGTAAACCACTCCGATATCCTTGCCAAGAAAGCTTCATGGACAGTGTGGGGCACAGGATCATAAAGAATCAGACACAATTGAACAACAATATTTATATATTAGGAAATTGCTTTAGGTCATGTGCTTATGTGTACACACATGTATGTGTGTTTATGTTTGTTGTTTATGTGTCTTTGATACCAGATCTTTATCACAGAAATTTGGTACAAACGTTTCCCCTATTCAGTTGTTCCCCTTATTCTAGGTAGATTTTGTTTTGCAGAAGCCTTTCAGTTTTAAGTAATAAAAGTTGATTATTTTTTTGTAATAATTTAGGTCACATCTATTTAGAATTTATTTTGGAATATGATATAAGGTATTGATCTAAGACTAATTTTTGCTACACTGCTTTCTAGTCTAGCAAAAATTAGTCTTAGATCAACATCTTACCAGTTTTTCCCAGTTTTCCCAGAAGTGTCTTTTTTAATCAGATAGGGAATTCTTTCCCAAGTAATTTATGTTTTCTATTTTGTCTAACACTTTAATGAATTTCTGACAGGAATTCTTTGCTTAAGTTGAACTGATCTAACTTGTTCATTAAATTCAATTTCTGGTTTCCTTGCTTCGGTGCCTTGGTTTGTTCATGCTAGGCTTTAATGCCTGACGTGGCCTTTCCAAGCTAGATTATGACACCAAATTTTCACCCTATTAAAATGGTGGCTATTGTGTTTTAGTCCCATTCTCCCTTCTTTCTCAGAGTTCATTATTTGGCTAACCATCTTTCTCCTTTCATCTTCTCTACCCCTTCCTTATTTGTTTCAAATTATTTTATTTTGTCATTTTCTCTCGACTGTTTTGAGTACTTATTAGCTTTTTATTCAATTAGAAATTTCTCTGATGTAAGGAAATGCTAAATTAGCTCATGCTTTATTAACATTTAGATCTGCTTTGTTTTTGTTAAAGTGCCAAGGATGATATTGATCTTGAAGCCTTGGCTGCAGAAATAGAGGGAGCTGGTGCTGCCAAGGAACAAGAACCTCAGAAGTCAAAGGGTAAAAAGAAAAAGGATAAGAAGAAACAAGATTTTGAGTAAGCATGTACTTTTTTTAATGTAATTTCTGGTGTGTTTATATTTGATTCACTTATTAATGTAGCTTTTCAAAATTTGTTTTGGTTTCTAGTGAGGATGATATCATGAAAGAGCTTGAAGAGTTGTCTTTAGAAGCACAGGGAGTCAAGATTGACCGAGAAACTACTGCAGTAAAGGTGAAAGACTTGTTTATTCTTCTTGCCTACTCTAGTTGGCAAGTGCTTACTTCATGCCTCTAAATAGCTACAAGCCACTGAATAAAATTTACAATTATTATTTTAAGATAAATTTCACTAACTTGTGTTTATTTTTATTAGGAGACACAAACTGCTTTAAGCTAATTTATTTACATTACATATAATTATTAAAATTAATGAAGATTCGCTTACTTTAGTTCAGTATCTCAAATTCAGCAATTAAACTCACTGAGTTTTTGTCCTAAGTTACACATTCCCCTCCAGGTTCTTGAAATCAGGCATACTCATTAATTTATCACTCATTTATTTATTTAAATATTTAATTACCTAATCATTTATTTATTTATTGGATATATTTCTTGGTGGATAGGCCTTTCAGTCCATGCCTTCTTACATATTTTGAAGAAACTTGTGTATGGCTTTTCACATGGGACAAATTTTATTACATATCTATTCATCTGTCTGTTTCACAATATCAGTGTGGAAAAGGATACCAGAAATCTTTGTAAGACTTTTAAGTTATGGAGAACATACAACTTTCCAAATCAGTCTGTTTTATTTTGGGGCAAATATGACTTAATATATACCTTCTACCTCTTTGCAACTTATTCTTAAAGTTCATCTGTTCTTTTGTGTAGGAATGATCAGTTTAGTCTCTCTTCTATAGTGCAGCCTTTTAAACACTTGATGACAATTATGATGTCCCCAAATATCACCAGTTTCTTCAGTAGTTCTTCTATGGCATATTTTACAGTGTCCTCCCCTTCCTAGGTATACTCTTGGTTGTGCTCCAGTTTGTGAAATATTCGTCCAAAAAGTCCTTAGAAGTAAACATGATACTCTGTCTAGATTAGATGGGAGTTTTTAAACTTTTTGATGTTATGTTTGGGAATTGAGTGATTGAGCCCAACTACTATTAATTGATCAGAGTGGGGAGAAGTGGTAGTTTAAGATTTTAGTGCTATTCAACATTTTAATCAGTAATTCAGACAAAGGCAGATTTGGAAAACATCAGTTTACAGATGACTCAAATCTGACTATAGCTAACATGTTAGATGACAGTCACATAATCCAACCCATAATTGGACAGGAATCCTCTCTACAATATTGCCAGAAAATGGATAACCACCCTCTGCACTACACAGATTCCCTTTTGGAGGTCTGGTGAAACCTTTGGACTCTTTCTTAGTATAAAAATTTTAAATGCATTGAATACATTTGCAGAGTTGACCTCAACTTGGTTCTCTCCAGTTGGACCACTTATGAAATTAATTGTTTTGGGTTTTTTGTTTATAAGCATTTTTTTGGGGAAAAAACCCCCAACAACTTGATAATGTGAAACACTAAATATTTATATTAAAATTTGGATTACCAAGGAAACCAATTACTTTGGCATAGTTATCAAAATATTTTTTAAAACCAAGGTCACAGATAATAAGTAAATAACTACTGATCTAGGTATGGTTTGGCCAGCACGTTCTGCACATTTTGCATTTTACTAATGCAGTGAGGCTAAAACCTTACTAAGATGTTGTTAACTTTTTTTTCCTTCACTAAAATCCCCAGATCTTTTTCGTCATTTGTTTCTGTAAGATTTTGAGTTTGAAATTTTTCTCACTTTTCTCCTCCCTCCCCACAACAGCAAGTAATCTGATACAGGTTATACATGTACAATCATGTTAAACATATTTCTGTGTTTGTCATGATCCCCAAATCTTTTTCACATGAACTAGCCAAATCTCCCCCAAAATCTGCTTGTTGTAAATTGATTTCTTATACTCAAATTAGGATTTAAAGTACATTGTTCTTGCATTTTGAGGTCCTAATTCCAGCCTATGTGTTAAGTTTTTAAGAAAAACTTTATCGGGTAGAACTTACCCCAATTATATAAAAAAGACAAGACATTTTTCTTGAACATAAACCATGATTTAAAAAGGCAGCCAACTGGGGAAATTCCCAGCAGAAGCATGTTTAAAGAATAGGTCCAGACAGTTTGTGAGACGATGAAAATAGTAAATCAACACTAAAAAAATTTAGGGTTTCACTAATGATTAATTAAAGATAAAAGATATATGATCATTGTTGCACTGATATGTGAGAATAGAGACAGAATAGACTTATTCTGCTTGCCATAAAAGGATAGGAGTAGGATGGTAGAAACACTGTTTAGAGACTGATTGGCTTGATTTGAAGAAAAGTTTCTGAGCAAAACTTTCTATAGTTTGAATTGGCTGTCTTATGAATGCATGACTTCTCCAGTAATGGTGGTCATTGGTACAAAGTCTGGTTATCCATTTTCTGGCGATATTGTAGAGGGGATTCCTATCCAATTATGGGTTGGATTACGGGGCTGTCATCTAACATGTTAGCTGTTGTCAGATTTGAGTCATCTGTAAATTGATGTTTTCCGAGTCTGCCTTTGTCTGAATTACTGATTAAAATGTCGAATTGCACTAAAATCTAAAACTCCCGCTCCCCCCCCCACTCTGATCTATTATAGTAGTTGAGCTCAGTCACTGAATTCCCCAATCTTGCTAACTGTACTGTGTTCCAGCTTTTATTTTCATCTTGTCCAGAAATATAGCATGAGAAACTTGAAGTGTGTTAACTGAAATCCTAGAGGGTTGTATTTACAAAATTCCTTTCTTTTACCAATCAAATAAATTCTTGTCAAAAAAGGAAATATATTTGGTCTGGGTTTTATATGACTTGCTCTTAATGAAGCCATTCTGGATCTTCATGATGACTGCACTCCATTCCTTTAATAATGTATTCTAGAACTATTCAGAGTCATGCCATTAGCTTATATTTTATAGAATTCACACACTCTTTTTTTTGTTGTTGTTGTTTGCCCTTCAGTCTTTTTTTTTAATGATAGTTTAATTTGTCCCCAAATGACATGTAAAGATAATTTTTAACATTGATTTTTTAAACATTTTGAGTTCCAAAATTCTCTTACTCTCTCTCCCCTCCCTGAGATGGTAAGCACTTTGATAATGGTTTTACATGTGCAATTAAGCAAAACATTTCCATATTAGTCATGTTGTTAAAGAAGACAGACTAGAAAAGAAAGTGAAAAATAATATACTTAAATCTGCATTCAGACTCCATCAGTTCTTTCTCTGGTTGTCGATAGCATTTTTCATTGCCAGACCTTTGAAATTGTCTTAGATGATTGTGTTGCTGAGAATAGCTAGGTCATTCACAGTTGATCATTGTACAATATTGCTGTTACTGTGTACGATGTTATTCCTGGTTCTGTTCACTTCACTTTGCATCAGTTTGTGTCAATCCAGGCTTTTCTGAAATCATCCTGCTTATCATTTCATATAGCACAATAGTATTGCATTACAGTCATATACCAAAGATGATCAGCTGTGAATGACTTGTCTTGGATCACTGCATTGCTCTGAAGGACTTGTGATGAAAAATGCTATCCATCCCTGGAGAAAGAACTGATGGTGTTTGAATACAGATTGAAGCACGCTTTTTTTTTACTTTGATTTATCAACAATCACTTCCATATACTTATGAGTTAAAAATTTTTCTCCACCTTCCTCCCTACCACCCCTCCCCACCACCCCTCCCCAAGATGGCGCACAATCTGATATAGGCTATACATATACATGCCTATTAAACATATTTTCACATTAATGATGTTGTAAGTAAAAATTAGAACCAGTAGGAGGAAGCACCAGAAAGAGGAAACAAAACTCAACAGAAAAGAAAAAAATAGCAGTTCAACTTCCATAGTTCTTTCTTTGGATGTGGATGGCATTTTCCATCACGAGGCCTCTGGAGATGTCTTAGACCCTTGTATTGCTGGGAAGGGTTAAGTTTATCAATATTAGTCATTGCACAACGTGGCTGTTATTGTGTACAAAGTCCTCTTGGATCTGCTCACTTCACTCAGCGTCAGACCACACAAGTCTTTCCAGGTTTTTCTGAAGTCAGCCTGTTCGTCGTTTTTTATAGCACAATAGTATTCCATTACATTCATATACCACAACTTGCTCAGCTATTCCCCAGTTGATGGGCATCCTCTCAATTTCCAGTTCTTTGCCACCACAAAAAGAGCTGCTGTAAATAGTTTTGCACAGATACAGTTATCCCTTCCACATCATGGAGGTTAGCCCCAGGGATCTGGAAAATCCATATAAAAATTTTTGGTCCTTCTCTCATAACCAGAGAAGAAGTCTGAATTTTCTTTTTCTTTTATGGCATGTGTACAGTACCTTTTTGTAAAATTTGTGTTGATATTATACAATACTATATGTATATTTTATGCATTTCGGAGTTTCTGAGTTTTTTCTGTGTTGTCTGCTGGCCTTCATGTATAGCCTGTGGCTTCCTCAAAACTCTCCCAAAATTCCCATTTAATTTCTTACCTTGACTCACTATATATCAAAGCTGCAATGGAGAAAGTTGCAGTGTGGGATAACTGTAGTTTCTTTTTCATTCATTCATTCATTTATTTATTTTATCTCTTTGGGATATAGACCTAGTAGTGATATTGCTGAGTACACATAGTTTTATAGCCTTTTGGGCATAGTTTTAAATTGCTCCCCAGAATAGTTGGATCAGTTCTCAACTTCACCAACTGCATTATTGTCCCAATTTTCCCACATCCCCTCCAACACTGATAATTTTTCTTTTCTGTCATGTTAGCAAACTGATAAGTGAGAGATGATACCTCAGAGTTGTTTTAATTTGCATTTCTCTAATCAATAACGATTTAGAGGATTTTTTCATATGACTATGGAGAGCTTTGCTTTCTTCTTCTGAAAACTACCTGTTTTTATAAAACTTTGACCATTTAATTCATTTGTGGAATGATTTGTGTTCACATAAATTTGGCTCAGATCTCTGTGTGAGAAGTGGAGACCTTTGTCAGAGAAACTTGCTATAAAAAATTGTTTACCAGCTTTCTGCTTTCTTTCTAATCTTGGTTGCATTGGTTGCGCTTGTGCAAAACCTTTTTAATGTAATATAATCAGAATCATCCATTTTACATCTCATAATGCCCTCTATCTTTTGTTTGCTTACACATTTTTCCTTTCCATAGATCTGACAGGTAAACCATTCCTTGCCCTAATTTTTTTCTTGTTATTTCCAAGTTATGTGCCCATTTTGACCTTATCTTGTTATACAGTATAAGATGCTGATCTATACCTAGTTTCTGCCAAACTGTTTTCCAGTTTTCCCAGTAGCTTTTGTCAAATAGTGAGTTCTTGTCCCAAAAGTTTGGGTCTTTGGGTTTATCAAACAATAGATTATTATGGTCATTTACTACTATGCATTGTGTACTTATTCTATTCCACTGATTCACTACTTTATTTCTGGGTTAGTACCAGATTGTTTTGGTGATTACTGTTTTATGATCCAGTTTGAGATCTACTACAGCTAGGCTACCTTCCTTCACATTTATTTTCATTATTTCCCTTGATATTCTTGACCCTTCTTCAGTCTTGATGTGTCATTCACACTCTACAAGATTTTACAAAGGACACTGTTAGTCATTCAACAATCACTTCTTCTAGCTAGCTCTTTCAATAACCCTGGGTATAGTTTTTCTGGGCCAGGCGATTTGAACTCATTATGGCTAATTAAGTTTTCTCTTGCTTTGTCTTTCTTGGATTTCAGTTGTCTTTAATGCATTTTAGTTCTGTAGTACCCAGTCTGCAAATTGTTGTTTTGTAAAAAGAAAAAGAAAGGAAAAAAAATTTTTCTGAATTTTTCAGACAAAAAAGAGATGAAAATTTTCAAAAGTAGAATAGAGAAAAGAGAATTATATATAAAACTATGAATTTATTATATTCAACTTGCTTTTTACAAAGAAGTAAATTAAATTCATTATGTAATTTTCAGAGTTGCCCTTCTTGTCTGTTATTTTTTTTTTAAACTTATATTCTCTTTGCATTTAAGCAAATCTTTCAGTGACCCAGTTTGCTTTTTTTTGGGTGGGTGGGGGGGGTTCTGGTGCATTGTGCAACATTAGAGCTAGCTTCCCTCTCCAAGTCTTGATGAAAAAAGCATGTTCCTTGTAAGAAATGAATGTAGTTAAATGAAACAGATCTAGTTTGCCATGTGTAAAAATTATGTCTCATTCTTGTACCTTGAGTCCAAAGTTATTTTCTTTATATCATCATAACTCTCTTAAGTTGTTTTCCTGGTTTATTCACTTCACTTTGCATCAGATTATACAAATCTTCTCCTGTCAAGTCAGTAAACATTTAAGCACTTACTAAGTGCTAAGCACTGAGGACACAAAGAAAGAAAAAACAGGTGTTCTTCTCAGAGAGCTCACACTCTGAAACTGCTTCTGTTGTTATTTCTCACGTTCTCTATGAGAGAAAAAAACACAGAAGTAAAATGATCTTTGTGTACATGCACTTTTCTTTTAAAAAAAAGTCTTTTCCCTTCAAACAAATGTTCTTAACTTTTTTGTGTGTTGTGTACCTCTTTGGCAATCTGATGAAACCTGTGGACTCTTGAAAATAATGTTTTTAAATGTGTAAAATACATAGTATTATAATGGAAACAAATTATGTTGAGATACCTTTAAAAATATTTTTATAAACCAAATTTGTGGACTCCAGGTTAAGAATCCCCCTACCTTAGAACTAAAGTGATATGTGATTAGTTGAAGATCATAAAATTTTATTAATTAAAACTTGTTGCTTATAAAATTACTATGCTTGTTAGTTTTATAAATGTGAAAATTCAGGTAGGGCTTTTCCTTTTTTGTACGGTGGTCAGTTTCTGGGGAGAAACCAAACAAAATCTTTAGGGTATATATGGTTGTATTTCTTTTGCTTGTTGTATTTTGTTTTCTTGGCCTTTATAGGAATTCCCCCTACGGGAAGCAGATAAACCTGACCTGTTGATGGTGGTAGCTCTCGTCAAGCTCTTCTGAGAGTTGTATTGTTCCTGGAATTGAGTCTGGCTACTTGGTGCTCATTTGAAGACATTATTCATAGATCCATGTTTCATTTACTTCCATTCAAAAAGGAATTTGGCATGAAAATTATTTCAGTATTACTGGTAGCCTTGCCTTGTAGTGTATGTTTTAGGTTGTTGTTTTAAGATAATCACTGATGTGCTAATCTACTAATTTCTAGGCAGCAGAAAACAATGAAGAATTCAGTGCTTCTAAGCAAGAAAGAAAAAAGAAAGGGCAGAAGGGCAAAAAACAAAGTTTGGATGATGATAGTGAAGAAGCAGAGGAGAAAGAGTCAAAATCAAGAAAGACCTCCAGAACAAAAATAGAACCGCTTTCTGGAAGTGAAGATGATAATTTTGATAAACTTTCTAAGAAAGATAAAGGAAAAACTCAGAAATCAAATAAAAAAGCAGATGGTTCAGAAGAGGATGAAGAGAATATTAAAAAAGGTAAAGCCTGGACCAGAGCAGATTCATCATGTGGGAGTGGTGATGACTCTGATGATTTCTCTCAGTCTAGAAAAGCACAGAAAAGGAATCAAAAAACCAAATCAGCTCTTCATGTTGAAAGTGGGAATGAAGATGATGACTCTTCTTTCAAAATAAAAACAGTGGCACAAAAGAAAGCAGAAAAAAAAGAGCGAGAACGAAAAAAGAGAGATGAAGAAAAGGCAAAATTGAGAAAATTGAAAGAAAAAGAAGAGTCTGAAAGTGGTAAAAAAGAACAAACAAAGCAGAAAGAAACTCAGAAGAAACCAGAGGAAGATGCTTTAAAATCCAGAGTGGATCTTGATGCTAGAGCAGCTCCTACCTCAGAAGAAAAGGGAGATACTCTCACAACTACAGAAGGTTGGTGATTTTAGGAAAGAAAGAAAAGTACAGTTGGTATTTTGTGTGTATTTCATACAGATTTTGATTTTACTAGTAATTTATATACACAGATAATTCTCTGGTTGGACCAGTTATTTGCAAATAGCCTTAAAAATTTTTTTTTCTTTAACAGGAAACCCTCATTCTTGGTTTGTTCTGTTGAGTATTTGGTTGTATATTGATGATTGTTTAAAGTGTCTAATCTTGAGTTTATAGATTTATCTAATGGTCACTTAAGTTTATTATTGGGAGCATAAGCTAAAAAATGTGCTGCTTCTTTTGGTAATTATATTTTATTTTTTTCACCTAGCAAGCATTTTTTTCTTCCTACCTTTCCCCCACACTGGAAAAGAAAAAAAAAGCCTCGTAACAAATGTTCATAGTGAACAATTCCTATATTGTCTGTGTCCAAAAAGGTGAATCTCATGATGTTATTTTAGTGTAAATTATTCTCATGGTTCTGTTTGTTTCACTCTGCATCAGTTCATACAGGTCTTTAGTTTCTCTGAAACTCTCATTATTTTTCCAGCACAGTCATTATATCCATATGCCACAATTTGTTAAGCTGTCCCTCCTCCAGTTTCTAGTTCTTTGCCACTACAAAAGAGCTGCTGGGTTTTCATATATCTAGGATCTTTTTTTTCCCCCCCATCTTTTTAGGGTTGGGACTATATAGTTATAGGGTATAGGCTGGTAATATGGCAAGGTCACGGGATAAGCACAGGTGAGTAACTTTTTGGGCATCATTTCATATTGCTTTATATAACAGCTATAGCAGTTCATAGCTCTGCCACTGGGTCTGTTTTCTTGTAATCCCTTCAATATTTGCCTTTTTTTTTTCTCCAGAATTTGTCCATATCAGATGTGAGGTAGAACCTCAGAATTGTTTTAATTTGCATTCCTCTAATTATCAGTGGGAACATTTTTTTATCTGTCCATAGATAGCTTGTTTTTTGTTTTTTGTTTTTTTACTTTGAGAATTTCCTGTTTGTTATCTTTTGACCTTTTATTTGGTAAGTGCTTTGAGATTTATAAAACACTTTCCCCACACCAATCTGTAAGGTAGGTATGGTGAGGATTATTAGCATTTCTATTTTACAGATGAGGAATGGAGGCTCAGTGAGGTTGTAACTTCCTTAGACTCAAACAGCTGGGAAAGTCCCCTGAGCGGGAAATTCAGAGGAGAATATAGGCTTTTTGATGCTCTTCTAGGGAGCCAACTTAGAAGCACATGCTCTTCCCTCCCCGGAAACCCCAAGTCGTCGTCCCCCTCCCCCTCCCATTCTCTCTCTCAATAATACTTTATGCTATCTACTGATAGTTTTAAAGTTTTTAAAATCTAAAAAAAATTTATGACCATTAGGTATAAATTATCGTTACATTCTTAATGACATTAAAACCATAATATTGAATATTGCTGTAACTAAATTTGACTTAGTAACAGTTTAAGCCAATTTCAGTGTGCAAAATATCACAACTTTTCATTCATTCTGAGTCTCCATTAGGATTCTTTGTATATTGGTTCTTTTCTAATTAACTTTTCCTTTTGTATGATTGTTGTTGGTGCATACTCTGTTTTTATTTTTGCTTTATTGCTTTGCCTTATTTCACAAAGAAGTTTGCTGATTTCTTTACCATATATTTCTCAGTCTTAATTTGATTGTATGTCATTACATGAATGTTCCACAATTTAGTCTTCTGTTTTTGGCCATTTAGGTTTCTCCTGAATATTTTTTGTTTGTTTTTTGGCATTTATAAAATAAGCTGCTTTGAAAAAATTTTGAACAGATAGCTTATTTAAAAATAAAATATTCAGAGTTTATTTCCAAAAATTATTTTTTTCACTTTGACTGGGTAGTACATTAAATGTTGAAGGGAAAACAGTGAATGTGTGCTATAAATTTACATATTTGAAGGCAACTAATTTTATTTTCACTAGTAAACAAGAAAGGCATTTGGAATTTATGTTTAGAGTTTCTGTTGGAATTAACAGCTCTTTTTCTCTTTTCTGTTAGCTGATGATAATGAAAGTGACAAAAAGAAGAAAGATAAGAAAAAAAAAAGAAAGGAGAAAAGGAGGAGAAAGAAAAGAAAAAAGGTCCTAGCAAAGCCACTGTTAAAGCTATGCAGGAAGCCCTTGCTAAGCTTAAAGAAGAAGAAGAAAGACAGAAGAGAGAAGAGGAGGAACGCATCCGACGACTTGAAGAGTTAGAAGCCAAGCGTAAGGAAGAGGTGTGTGTAGTCACTTAAGTCTTGTTTCTTTAACTCTTAGTGAAGTAATTAATTTGGATTTTATATGATTTCTTAATACCTATTTTTCTTACTCAAAGAACATCTCTTAAATTTATACTGTCTTTAAAGATTTTATGACAATTTTCATAGTTGACTTAATGACTTAAAACTTCATGGCTGATACAATCAAGAAATATGTCCTGTCTCCCCTCCTCTGTGGAAGTTAACATAAAAAGTGTTTATATTAAAGCAAATGGTTGCCATTTGATAGTTTTTTCACATTTTAAAATCTTTGCTTATGAATATTTATGTGTGTGCTTTAAAATAGTTTAGTTCAGAATGTTTTCACATGTTATTAGGTCACTCCTGTGAGAAGGACCACACTGGATTTGCAGTCAGAAAATGGGTTTAACCATGACTCATAGAAATCTAATACACTGGATAGAAAGCAGGACTTGTGTTTAGGAAAGCCCAATTCCACCTTTCTACATCCTTAGCAACACACTCTCTCTCTGTCTCTCTCTCTCTCTCTCTCCCCCTCCCTCTCCCTCCCTCCCTCTCTCTCTCTCTCTCTCTCCTCTCTCTCTCTCTCTCTCACACACACACACACACACTATAATCTCAAAGTCTCTCTTGCCATGTGTTTTATGGGGCTTAGCATGTTTGTTGTGAGACTCAAATGAGATGTTGTGTGAAAAGCGATTTTCAGAATTTAAAGGCTGTCTATAAAATGCTAGTCATAGAAGTTGTTTAGTGCTGATGGTGATCCTATGGAATAACTTTGCCTCTTGGATCTTTGGTTCCTTCATCTGTAAAATGAGAAGGTTGGGTTAGCTCTGTCATGCTGAGTTTAAACTATTTCTGGTTTATACCAGTATGTTTTGACTATGTTTAAATATGATTTAATGGCAGATTCTTATGCTTTCATAGGACATTTAGAACTGGGAAGGATCTTAGAGGTAATCTTACCCAACTTTCAACATTTTGCCAATGAGAAAAGAGGACCTCTTGTTGAGTGACCTGACAACTCTATGATCAGTGTTATCCAGGATGGAAGCACAGAGTTTTCTGATTTTAGACCAGGATTCTTTTATTATTTTTTTGATATCTATACTTCTCTTGCATCATTTGTTGTAGGAACGATTAGAGCAAGAAAAGAGAGAAAGAAGGAAGCAAAAAGAAAAAGAAAGAAAAGAACGATTGAAAAAGGAAGGCAAGCTTTTAACGAAATCCCAGAGAGAAGCCAGAGCTAGAGCTGAGGCTACTCTTAAACTTCTCCAAGCTCAGGGTAAGTAATAGCATACACCCAGCTCAGCTGGTGAATCCTGCGAAGATGTTTAGATGTGGTTTGGGGTTTGAAAAAGATAATGTTCCTGAAAACACTTTGAAAAATTCCAAACACTAAAAAAGTAATGATGGTGGTAGTCATGTTATTCCTTTGAATAACACTTCTATTCCAGACTACTATCCAAAAAATGATTAGATGTCAAAAGTATTACGAAGCTGAATTGATGATTGAAAGCAAACAAAGTATTAAATTTCTCATTGAGTTCCTATTCCCTTCATTTACCAAGTATTTCATTAAGAATATATCTTTACACTATCCTGTTCTGTGCTATGGAGGATATGGTGGAACAAAATACAGTTGCTATCTTGAAGGAGCTTACAAGGTTACTTTTGGAAGGTAAAATATACTAAAATGGCATACTAGAGAATTTTTTTTCAATTCAGCGTTTTATTAAGTGCCTGCAGTGTTTAGACTGTTGTTAATTTCCAGGTGTATCAGATTTATCTGAGATGATCCTTATCCTTTTGTAAGGAATACAACATATAGAACCCTAAATTGCACAGAATGACATCGGTGTACTATAGAATTGCCAAACAGTATGCTGTGTGAGGCAAGGGAAAGGTCTTCTACCAAGACATGTAGGAAGCAGGCAAGGTTTCATCATGGAGTGAAGAATATGTTTTACTTGGGTTTTAAAGAGTGAGTATGGCTTATGCTAATGAGAATGGAGGTTGAGGTGAATTCCAGTGCAGAAGAAGAAACTGAAGCCTTAGAGAGGGAAAGTAGCTTCCTTACTGTCCTGGAGATTCTGAGTAACCAAGCTTGCACTCAAAACAGTGATTGTTCCACTGTACCATAGGAATCTGTGCAGTAGATGCAGAGTGTAAATAAAAGATTTATTTGATTTATACTTAATATGTAAGTGCACCAGGAATTTTAAAAAGGGTCATTAAAGAGAAAAGGGAGGAGGCTTCAAAATTTGTTTTCACTGTTGCCTTTTTTAAAGTATTAAAGTCTCCAACCCTGATAGTCACAGTCTGACATTATAGGTATAGTTTACACCTTCAGTCTTCCAAATTCTCTGCAGAAAGAATATGATTCATATTTTATCCTTAGCAGTCAAGATCAGATACCTTTTAGTGTTGTCATTTATGTGACTTTATACATTGGCTTGATTTTCTTTGTTATGTATCATCAGTTCAGTTAAGTCTTCCTGTGTTTCTCCAGTTTCCTCACGTTGTTGCTTCTTTAGAGCAAATGATAGTCCATTAAATTAATACAATGTCATCTGTTCAGCCTTTCTCCAAATAGTGGTCACTGACTTTGTTTCCATCTCAATTTGAAAGAAATATTTAAAGCTCTGACTCCTTATTAACCTTCCACACTTCAAAGAAGGTAACTTTTGAATTACTTGACAGCTTTTTTTCCATGCTTTCCTGTTTATAGGTCATATTTGACACTGGTAATGTTTACTGTCTGTAATTTAACTAGACCCATCAGTTTGCTTTCTTTAGGTGAGAAAAGTGCATTTAAAATTTGCAAACAGAATCCTTGTTACTGAAAACTATGAACATACAAGAATCTTTTGGCTTATTTAATACCATTTGTCATTCAAAATTTTCATTATAATCTTACTGTTTTACTCTTGCTTTCCTAGTTACTGGCCCGTTGATAATGATAGAGGACAAGGGAAGTTTAGTAGTTTATTTCTGTGATTTTAAAAAAATTATCTTAATTTTTTTCTTTCATTACATTCGAATATACTAATATTTCATGCCATATCTGTTTTCCTCTTAAAGGCAATGACTTGATTCTCAGTGGGAACAATAAAAAATATTGTAAAATGTGGTTTAAGAACAATCATTGGGAGAGGCCAGAGTCAGAGATTATAGAAGCCCAACAGTTATACTTAATGAATATCATCTTCAAAAAAATAGAGGGTGCTAGATATGAATGTCAAATAATATCACAAGAGATGAAATTAATTGTATTTTAATAAGAAATGCCTCATTACTGATTTGTCAGCCATTTCTGGAGCAGTTGTCTTCATGTTCATACCTCTAATTTGTTTTAGAACTAAGATAACAAAACAAAACAAACCTAGAAGAAAGAATAAATATAAGAAAAATACAGTATACAATGAACAGAGTTTCACCTTGAACTTTTATTACCAAGTTTTTAATGTCCCAAAAAATGGAAATGGAAGAAAGGACATGGATGTCAATTATAACAGTTTCATGAAGTTTGTTAAATTTTGAAAAATTACTTATTAAATGAAGACCAAAAAGAACCTCAAAAATTGGCCTTAGTCAGGAAACACTTGCTATACTTACTGGTGGGACACATAACCTCCAAGGGGATGATAAGAATGTAAACTCATTTATAAAATCTTATGGAGCCTGGTAAAAAATTAGGAGCAGTATCACTTCGTGAAATAACAAGGCGCAGTGCAAAAGCAATACAAGTTTTAAGAAAGCTTTGAGTGAAACTATCCTGGTTACAGTGTGATACCTTGGGAAAAAGCATGGGATCTTGAGTCAAATTTAGGTCAAATTTATACAGATGTAGTCTGTGTTGGGGGTAACTTCAACTTTGAAGAATTGATTTTCTCTCTGTGTCTCTCTTTTTTTTTTTTTTGGCTAGGCAATGGGGTTAAGTGATTTGCCCAGGGTTACACAGCTAGTAAGTGTTTTTATGTGTGATGAGGAATTGATTCTCAAGGTGTCTGGAGGAAGGGAGAGTATAACAAGTATGCAGGGAAAATCTTGAAAAGGTGACTGAATGAATATCAGTTAACTACTGATCGATACACATTTTCATTCCTGTTTGTGTCAAAAAATTTTACTAAATAGTTGGATCTTTGATGAAGTTATTGGGAGTTAACAGACAGGCTTTCAGAGCTGATATTTCATAGTAGACCATATCTTGACCATTACACTATTGAATGAAAGTTGTAGAAAATCTAAGATTCCAATATCTTGTTTGCTGACTCTTAAAAAAAAGAAAAAGAAAACTGATTCAGTAGAGCAAAACCTTGCTTTTAAAACTCTTTAACAGCGGTGTTGTTCATGACTGTGTCAAAGTGATACAAGGTTGCTTGAAAGATATATCTTTACTATGATGAGATGCATTAAAGTGGAGACATGTAATCACCAAAAGTGTTTCTCACTGTCATGCAGGAGTCTACAACAGACATATAAGTCAAAAAAGGATCCCCCAGCTGTGCATTTGTCCTCCAGATGTTCTTGTTTGTATGACATTGTTGTTCTTGCATCAAGCTTCAGTACTTTGTAGAGCTTTCCAGATGAGATCCATAGTTATTCTAAAGTTTGCTGTCATTGTCTAACCCAGTAGATGAAGAAAGACCAGTGTCCAAACTGACAGGTAGTTGGATGTACAACCTTGTAGTTCATAGAGGGACTGGGTTCCAAATCATGGGAACAACACAGCAGGGAGAAGCAGAATATACTAGGCAAAAAGAAAATACACCTAAAGTTGTGCTGTTGTTGTGCTGAAGGCACCTAACTTTAGCCACTTTCCTGGCCATTGGAACAAGTTGTTTTCTTGTACCCATTATGCCTGCAGAAATTTTCAGATGCTTAAAGTCATGGGAACAGCACAACAGGAAGAAGCATACTAGGCAAAAAGAAGATAGGCCTAAAGTTGGGCTGTTTTTTTTTTTTAAAGATTCATTAATTTATTTAGTTTTGGTTTTCGGCATTCACTTCCACAAGATTTTGAGTTGCAGATTTTTCTGCCCATCTCGTCCCTCCTCCAACTCCAAGACAGCCTGCGTTCTGAATACCCTTTCCCCTAATCTGTCCTCCCTTCTATCTTCCCCAACCCTCCTTCTCTTATCCACTTCCTCTTCTGTTTTCCTGTAGGGCAGGATAGATTTCTATACCCCATTGCCTGTAAATCTTATGTCCCAGTTACATGTGAAAACAATTTTTTAACATTTGTTTTTAAAACTTGGGGTTCCAAATTTTCTCCCTTCCTCCCTCCCCACCCACCCTCATTTAGAAAGCAAGCAACTCAATACAGGTTATACTTGTGTAGTCTTGCAAAACACTGCCATAGTAGTGATGCTGTGGAAAACTAGCTATATTTCCCTTCATCCTGTCCCACCCTCCCATCCCCTCCCCCCGCCCCTTTATTCTATTTTCTCTTTTGACCCTGTCCCTCCTCAGAAGTGTTTGCTTCTGATTACCACCTCCCCCAGTCTGCCCTCCCCTGTGTCATCTCCCCCAACTCCCTTGTCCCCTTCCGCCCTATTTTTCTGTAGGGTAAGATAGCTTTCCACATCTACTTGAATGTGTATGTTATTCTCTCCTTAAGCCAGATCTGATGAGAATAAGATTCACTTATTCCCTCTCACCCTCCCCCACTTCACCTCCACAGTAAAAGCCTTTTCTTGTTTGTTTTATGTGAAATAATTTACCCCATTCTACCTCTCCCTTTCTCCTTCTCCCAGTATAATCCTCTCTCACCCCTTAATTTTATTCTCTAGATATCACCCATTCATTTTCAACTCACCCTGTGCCCTGTATCTATCAATCTATCTATACATATAATTTTTTCTCCCTCCAACTACCCTAATACTGACAGAGGTCTCATGAGTTACAAATATCATCTTTCTATGCAGGAATGTAAACAGTTCAGCCTTAATAAGTCTCTTATGATTTCTCTTTTCTGTTTACCTCTTCATGCTTCTCTTGAATCTTGTATTTGAAAGTCAAATTTTCTTTCAGCTCTGGTCTTTTCATCAAGAATGCTTGAAAGTCCTCTATTTCACTGAATGACCATTTTTTCCCCTGAAGGATTATACTCAGTTTTGCTGGGTAGGTGATTCTTGGTTGTAATCCTATCTCCTTTGCCCTTGGAATATTATATTCCATGCCCTCTGGTCCTTAATGTAGAAGCTGCTAAATCTTGTGTTATCCTGATTGTGTTTCCACATACTTGAATTGTTTCTTTCTGGCTGCTTGCAATATTTTCTC